CCTCCTCAGTCCCTCGCCCCCCGAGCCGTGAGTTTTCTGCGTAAAATACACTAACGAGTCCTTTCATTTGCTTGTTCCTTCAGGGTCGCGTGTTAGTTTTGTTGGAGGGGGGTGCAGGCTGTGTGTTACTCTGAGAGGGCTGGCAGATGTCCCAAGTGAGAGAACCTCTTCCTCCGGGGCCTGAAGGGCCACAGCAAGCTTCGGCTGAGAACAGCTCTTTGATCTCTCTCCCTCGAGGTAAGTTCCTTTAAAGTTTCTCCGTAATTGTTGCGCCTTTTATTTGAATGATACATTTACCGATTTGTTTTGTGGGTTTTAACTCCTCTTCTCTTACCCCTTCTCCCCCCCTCCACCCACGACCTTCCCTCTTTGGTGTAACTGTAACACTTTCAATTCCACCTCTTTATTGTTTTAACCAGAAATTCCTATGTGGAAAATGCACCAGAAAAAGAAGGAAACAAAAAAGTGCATTGATGTCAACACCAGTTCTCAGTCCTTGAAAAACTACAGTCATTCAAAGGCAGATGCTGCTCCTTAAAAATCGCTTTCTCGTTTCTCAGCTTTGTGTTTGTGTTTAGAAGCTCTTTCCTGTAAAGCTCTCCTTCCAGGTCTTGCAGTAAATTGAGAATGGTTGGTCCAGGAGCTGGAGCATTGTTCAGGTTGGAGGTCACTTTGCTGCTTTTTTCTTAGATTACTCTGTGATGCTGCAGCCAAAACCAGTTTCTGAGAGTATTAACTTGTTTCATGTCAGCTGTTCAAAAGGATCTATAAAAGTACATTTGTCTTAAAGAGAAATTCTTGAAGTTATATCTTATTTGCATTTGCACAACATGCGTTGATATTCCAATCACCTTCATGTAGAGAAGTTTGACAAGGTGTGTTGCAGGTTATCCTCAAAATAGCGAAGTATGTTTGCCTCTTGAGTCCTGGTCTGTGAAGATGAGACTTAATTGTTGTGGTTTTTTTTTTGTTGTTGTTGACAGCTACAGCTTTGTTTTCCAGAATTCTGACAGGAGCTTAAAAAGTCTCTGAAGAACAGACAAATAAGCTTGTTCAAAAACTGTAACTTTATTCATAACTAGTTAACTGGAGCAATGCCTGGTAACACAGTTGTGCAACTGTGGATTAAAGATGCAGTCTTGTTTTTGTAACTTGGAAAATCAATGTGAAATCAAAGTTGAAGACTCATGTGAGAAACCAGAAAGTATCCGTAGCTAAGTAAAAAATGTTCTGGCAGAGAGACATATTAAATTGGCTTATACTTATCTTATTGTTGTTTGTTGTTTTTTTTTTTTTTTTTGTCCTAGAGAGTGACTCATAACTTCTAAACAGTAAAAACTGAAATAAAAAGAGATTAGGTACAGAAGATCAAGCAAGCAGAACTGAACTGTTTATAATCATGTTTTTGCCAGAAACATCAGTATCTGTTGTACATGTTTATTTTCAATGTGTTGTTTTTATCTGTCATGTGATCAAAGTGGCTAAACTGGTTAAGTTCTGCATGTAGGCCATACATCAAAGTTACTGAAGTTGTAAGTCAGTCAACCAACTAGCCTGGAAAGTGATCTCTCTCTTACAGTTCCGCATAACTACTTCATAGTTTTCACTGTGAAGTAAAATCTGTGACTCCATTTTGTAAGATTTTCAATACATGCTCTTCTTTTTCTGAAAACTGAGGAAACAAATACTGATTTGGCCATGGCCAAGTTATGTGCAGAAAACCTTACACAATTACAGCTCACAGCTGTTGAGGTGGAGGATTATAAAGTTACTTTCTTAGGGATTGGTAAGGTACAAACAAGTGTAATCAATATTCAGGTTTGCTCACTGGCCACGCCTTTCAAGGCACATGCTTAATTTTAAAGCATATGTATAGTTCACAAAAAGACAAGACTGGTTTTTTTACAGAATTCAGCATTCAAATACATAATTTTTATTCTAATGAACTTAGATCTAAGGATAAGTGTGGATATTTGTTACTTTTTTTCTAGCTTAAGTCTGTTGGGGAAATGGGGGTGGAAAGAGGAAGAGGTGAGTTCATAACATTTCCAGTCTATATTCCAGCATTTCTGTTGTCAGCTCTGCAGTGTGTGGTTACAGGGTAAGGTAGTCCAGATATTCCAGGACTGAAGATCTAAAATAATATGTCTAGGACTTTGAACACCCCCTACTCTTTCTATACTACCCCCAGGACATCTGAAAGTACGCTGACTTCTCTAGAATTTAGTGATAAATTTAAAAGCTGTGCTTAAATTCATATTATTTCTGGAAATAGGCTAGAGATATTTGGAAAAATCTGCAATAATTTGAAATAATTACTACTTTGCTGAGAATCACCTCATCATATTTGTGTGATGACTCCATATATTCACAGTGAGATACTTGAAATCTGTGTCCACCTAGGAATAAATATTCCTTAATCAGAAAAAAATAGCTTATGTTGTATGTATAATAAAGTATGAAGTGCATTCTAGTGAGAAACAATTTCTGATTGGTAGCAGCATACTTCAATATGCTTTCTATATTTGTTTAACTGGTATAGATACCTTATATCCTGAGAAAAAACTTCTCTTCTCTTCTGTAGTTCTGTGAGGAATCATAAAAAAATCTGGATCTTCAAAGTGCTCCTTCTGCTTCCTATCATATATAGTCAGATGCTTAGGCTGAATTGTATTTTTCCATGAAAGGAAAAGAAACTTCAATTGAATTTTAAATATGAAACAAATAGCTACCCCACAACCTAATTAAAAACCAGACAAAAGTAATAAAGCTTAGGCAGATGGCAGGGATATACATCAGTTGTGGACATGGTGAAAACTGTGGATTGAGACATAGTTTGGCCTACACATGTGGCATGCGCTGGATTTCACAACTTAAAAGAATTTTTGTGTGTTACTTTAACCAACATGCTCTCTCAACATCTCCCCTGTCACTGTTCTTCCTTCTTAGTTCATTTTTGAATTAATGCATAAATATTAGAGAGATTATTGGACTTTGCCTCTCCACAGGTGCTGTCCTATGAGAGAGAGCAAATGAAATCATAGCGTCTTCTTCTGTGGCAATATCAATACTCAAATTTCAGACTTTAAACCATTATCTGTGCCAACAGATTGTGGTGCTCTAAGGTACAGCCTACAGGATGAAAAGTTTAACCTAATTTCTGCAAACATCTAATTAATTTTTGCCACATCCTTCCAAAGGTGTAGCTCTACTTGTTCACCCTTGTTCAAGATTCTGGTCATTCTGTCTGTCTTCTCCTGTAGCTCCACAGGCCTTGGAATCAAATTATGACTACTTCTACCTGTGTGTGGTGTAATGTAGTCAGTGAATAGCGTCATCTTTGTGCTCAGACCACTTCAATTTGGCTGTGATCAAGTATTTTCTCCACTGGTAGGTACCAAGATAATGTCCCTAAGCAGGGAATGTGACAATTAGTGACCATTGCCCTCTCTGCTTTAAGGAAAATATTTCATATGTTAGAGGTCATGTTCTGATTATTGCCTGGACTATGGGTAGACTTTTTTCATTAAATCCTCTGCATTTGAATAAACTGTGGAATACAAGAGAGAACTTCAGTGAACATGGACCTATATTCAGTGAATCAGGCCACGCTTAGAAAATGTAGGACTGTCATCTATAAAGTATTTGGACTGCTCTTACCTTTGCTTGTTGGTAACTAAATGTAACCTAGAATAACAAGTGAATAATATTTAGCTTTCTCAATTTAGAAAGAAGATAAATAAAATAATAATAATGTTAAAAAATAATAAAATTGAGACTGATAATTGCACTTCAACTATAAGAACTTTCTAATCACACTTTAGGTGATGGAAATCCACTAGAATTTGTGTTTTTTAATGGGGTGGGGGAGGAGGATGGAGAAATCTAGTAGAAATATTAAGGGTCAAATTCAGTAAGTGACTGATCTCTCTGGTGCAGATCATGTCACTGTTGCTGGATGCAGATGCAGTTCTGATTTCGTGTCTGAAGAAACCATATTCAGCAACTAATAATTCTACTCAGAATAAGTACAAAAAAAGCATGTGCTCCTTTTCAAGAATGTGAGTTGAACCTCCTCGTGTTTTATGTGCCTAACTGTTTTCATGATGAGAAGCACTGAAGGAACATGCTGGCTAGATGAGATGGGGTGACAGAAGACTTACTGCGGGGAATGTTTGGACATTCTTGAGGCAACAACAATTACTATGACTGTAATTATTGCACTTTACCAGCAGTGCCTCAGTGTTATGAGTAATGGATTTTTATTTTAAAGGTTAACCAGTGCACTTGGATTTCCCAGGCTCACCAAACGCTTCATCTATGTTTGTGTTCCCACTTGCAATCTGACGGGAGTTGAGTGAATCTGTGTTGTTTTGTCGCTGCCTGTCAGTACTGAGGCATTTCTTGAATGTTGCTGACTAAAATACCTAATACTTTCTTAACTGTCTAGCTCTAGTTTGTCATAAAAAATTTACTTCTGCTTTCAGCTTCACGTGCATACTGTTCCAGTAAAGTGATTCATGTCCACATGGGTGTGATAGACTTGTATTTCATGCAGTTGACTGTAAAGGTCTTGCATCAAATTTGAAATACTTTTGTGCCATCTCATAGGCTAATTTTATGTCAGAATAATTCTTCTCAGATTCCATTCCAGGCCCTCAGAAGTTAGATTTCTCTTTGTTTTGAACACTTGGGTTTTTTTTCCCTAATAAGTAGCATCCAGCAATGAGGGTGTTATGCTAGTGCTTTCATTTGGATCAGCAACGCAGTTTTGAAGTGAATCTCCTGTTCGGCTCCGCTTTGCTTTGCGTTGTGGAGTGATCCTGGGGAGTGACCTGGACTGGATTCCTTTTGGACAAAATAATCCCAAAGATGCACTGCAGGAATGTGCCTAATACACTCCAGGCACTAATAAACCTTCAGTCTTTGAGATTAAATCTGAGACTTAGTCCAAAGTAGAAGCCCCTGGAACATGTATAATATGGAATGTGTCCTTAAAATGAACTCTTTCACTGTACAGGCCCACTTTTTTTGGCCCATGCTGTTGCTAATACAGCCATAGCCACTGAGTATTGCTTAGCACTTAGGTGAAACTTGTTTTGTATGCATGTGAAACAGAATTGGACGAATGACAAATTTATAACTGACTGCATGACAATTAGTGTATTTGTGAAAAGAAGTTTTTGCTTATGTGTTTGCACTTTTTAATGCTTTTTAATAGTGCAGAGTACCTATTT